TAGGTGATTCTGGAATTTCCATAGGCACTTTTTATCATGTAGTTCTAGTTTTAAGTTTTTAAAAAATTCCTTAATATTTAACTTAACCTTCTTTTTTCTTTGCTCTACTTTTTATTGACAGATGAGAATAATTAGCGTAGTTCTTTGTTTCCCTTTTACCTTTCTTCCTGATTGAACAAATCTAGTTAACTTCAATATTTTTTTCTTGAAGACTGGCAGTGTAAGACAGTCACTGTTATTCTTTGAACTATATCTAATTTGCTTTCAGATAATTGATAGTCATGCCTTTTTAAAATGTGATAATCTGATTGGTTATGCAACAAACATATGAACCCCAAAACTTATAAAAAAGATCATGCTACAGACTGATATTGTTAGATGATACTATTTCAGTTCCCTTGTTATATATTCTAGAGTTGGCTTCTTTCTTCTTGTATAAATTATTTTTTTCTTTTCTTTGACATGACATTTTTATGACATTTTCCCCTCCCCCCAAGTTAAAATTAATCATAATCTTTCAAAGAGTTCTCTATTACCTTTCATTTTTGACTGACATCTTATTTGTGGTAGTCTTCAAGAAATCAATGAACATATTAACTGGAATTAGACTTGGTGCCTGTCTCCAAGGAACTCGACTCAAGAGTTTTTGGTAGTCTTAGATGGAATTTTTAATAACTTCAGAAGGTATTAAAAAAACAACAACTGTGTATTCTTAAGTCATTCCTTCAAACCCATGTTTCTGAGTTCCCAAATACAGAAATAAGGGTAAAATAAAACAAATCTGACCAGAATTAAGAGCATTAAAATAGTAAAAGAAAAAAATCTAACAAGCTAATGATTCTTATGAAAAGAAATTAAATGGCTAATTTAGGTAATATCTTGTAAACACAAAAGAACAGTATATTTCACATCATAGATTACATAAATGCCTAACCACTGTGCCATACACCTGAAACTAATATAAAATAATATTGAATGTCAACTATAATTATATCTATATCTATAGTCATGGGATAAAGTACAGCATAGGGAATATAGTCAATGGTATTGTCATAGCTATGTATGGTGTCAGAGGGGTAAGAGACTTGGAGGGATTATCACTTTGTGAGGGGTGTAAATGTCTAATCATTATGTTGTTTTGTATGCCTGAAACTGATAATAAAATTATTACAAAAAAAAAACCCCAGTATATTTCTTCTTAGTCATAACACAATTTGAGGGGCAAAGGAACTAGGAAAAGATGGTGCTGAAGAAGGTAAACTATAGATATTCAAGAAATTTGGTCTTTTTCTGTTTTAAAATTCAGAACATTTTGTTTTTCTTTAGAGCTCCAAATAAGTCACACACAGAAACCTCATCTCAGACTAAAAGCGATACCAATCAGATAAAGAACAGAAAATAATTCATTCTAAAGGACCGAGTTGGAATCCTGGCTCTACCATTTCATAGCTCTGTGACTTTTATCTTCCGGTTTCTGTGTCTGTGACATGGGTATAATACCACTGAAACCAATAGGGTCGGCAAGAATTAAAACAAAGAAAGCATGTAATATACATAAATTGCCTGGCTCATAGTAGGCGCTCAGCAAATGTTCATGGACTTCTCCCTCTTTCCTGACCCCTCTGGAAATTAAATCCGACAGATAAATAGCATTCTCTTCACTCTCAAGGCTATGGTGAGAAAAAGATAGAAATGACTATATGGAACAATAAATCTCCTTGATCTGAAATTTTAAAGTAGATAATTAAAGAAGTAAAACCAGTGAGAAAATGATAGAATTATTGTATCAAACCCATATGAAAGTTACTATTAATCATTTCTATTTTCTTCTTGGCTGTGATGATGACATTATATTTTGTGCTTAATGAGCGGAGAAATTATCCAAACTTTGAAAAGTAAAATTAAAAGTGTTTCATAAAAAACAAAAATTGCTCTATTTTCCAGATGTTTTATGAGAAAGCTATTTCAAAATGAAAGTACGGTCTTTTGGGCATTCATCTGAGAAGACCTGTTTAAGTGCATATCATCGACCATCCTATGTGGCAGAGGGTATGAAAGACAAGGTGAAAGAATGCTTATTAAAGGCATAGGACATGCCAGGTAGTGTTAGGCATACACCGCCGTATTAGTGTGCTAAGGCTGCCATAACAAAATATCACCAAATGGGTGACGTAAACATTTACTTTTTCACAGTTCTGGAGGCTGGAAGTCCAAGAGCAAGGTACAGGCAGAGTTGATTTCCTCTGAGGCCTCTCTCCTTGGCTTGTATAATATAGTTGGCTGCCCTCTTGCTGTCTCCTCACATGGTTGTCCCTCTGTGCATGCACACACCTGGTGTCTCATTGTGGGTCCTAATTTTCTCTTCTTATAAAGATACCAGTCATATTGGATTACCGCCCACCCTAACGGTCTCATTCTAACTTAACCACCTCTTTAAAGTTCCTATCTCCAGGTATAGTCACATTCTGAGGTACTGGGGGTTAGGGCTTCAACATAAGAATTATGGGGGACACAATTCAGCCCATAAGAAACATCATCTCATGTAAACATCACTCTGCTTTACAAAGGAAGAGTTAGGTTCTGAGAGAATAAATAAATCATCAAATGTCACTTAGCCAGTAAGTGGTAGAAACAAAATTTTAACCAAGTTTCATTATGAGAGCACCAAAGCCTTGGTGCTTTCTGCTATTCACACCTTCTCAAAGAATTATAAATCTAGCTGGGAAAGATAAAATACTGATTCATAAAATTTGAAATACGGATGTTACTGATAAGGAGTCACTTATTCACTGGACTCATGCTATTATATGGAAAGAATGAATTCAGGATTAATAAACATTTATAGAATATTTGTTACATGTAGGCTAGGTTCTTTTCACAAGGGTCCATTGGTTCCTTTACATGAGTAACTGTTGACTGGCAAACAGAAACAGTCTTGGTATGTCTTGGCCCAAAGCCTACAGATGACCCTAAGTCAATGTCAAATACAAGAGGGCTTTCTACCATAAGTATCTTGGATATGACTGTCTATTAGATCTCTTTTGCATTTGGATGTAGGCTATGTGTAGGTACACACGTATAAAATCCCTGATCTGCTCTATACTATTCTATCTCGTTGGCAATCTATACATGTTAGTGGGCTTTCAGCTTGCTATCGTCTCAGGATGAAAGACAGAGTCCCATGTTCAGTGTCCTAAGACTCCTGCTTGTGTGTCCAGGAATGACAGTTAGGCTGGGTTGTGGAGCTGGCACCTGCTCCACACTCTGGATGACCCCTACTGTCGCTTAAAGTTTGTTAAAAGTACAGTTCTAGCTTGTGCTTATTCTCTAACTACATTTTCTGGATCTATACTCTGTGTTAATTTGCAATTATATGACTAATAAATTAAGTAATTTACATCCCAAGATTATGTTATAATGTATTCAAAGACTACTCCAGGTATGCATAGTAGGGGCCAAGGCACATGTCCAGAATCCTAGTACATGCCAACTCTTACACAAAAATTGTTAAACTCCTGAAAGCAGAAAATAAAACTCCCATGTGAAAGATGTCCTCCCTCTACCAGCAGGAAAGAATCAAAGAGAGGCAATTGTGGAAAAATAACTAAAATAAATGGTAGGATTAAAGGAAGATAAGAATTATTTTAGGGGCCGGCCGAGTGGCTTGTTGGTTAAGAGTTGGCTTGGGAAGCCAGCTCTGAGCAGCAGGGCCCCGGTTTGGATCCCACATGGGCCAGTGACTCTGTGCCCTCTACAGTTAAGATGATGAACAACAGCTCAACCTGGAGCTGCGCTGCCGTGAGTCGCTGGTGACGGCATAGGCTGCAGCCCCTGCTGCAGTGGGCTGCCATAAGCTACCATGTGTGGCTGGCAGCCAGCGTGAGCTGCCAGCAGCCACCGTGAGCTGCTGTGAGCCAGCGACCATCCAATGACTGGTGACCGATATGCTCAGCTGGGAAGAGTGCAGTGATAATACCAACATGGGCCAGTGAAGCGACATCCTCCACAACTAGACTGAAGAAAAAAAGGACAGCAACTTGTCTGTTCCCCTTCCCTGATTTTCCAACGCTGTTCCCGCCCCCAATTCCCCAATAAAATATTAAAAAAAAGTATTTTAACAAGGTCTGTTTATACAGATTTCTCTTGACGTTGACTCCCCTTCTCTGGTGTTAAGAGTACAAACTTCAAAAAGGTAAGCTGCCCCTCAAACTCGTATATAAACTCTTAGGCCTAGCCACTTCTTTGGGTCTTCCATTTTCCTATAGGGGTTCTCATGTACATGCAAAATCTGTATTATTTACATATATGTCACTTATTGTAAGGGCTACAAAAGCCTCCTCAAGGAGGCTGAACTGTAGAGATCCATTTGTTTTTTTGTTTTTTCTTTTGAGGTAAATTCTTTGAATATCAATTACACCATTTCCAAAAAACAAGTATAAAAGCACATTTCAAAGTCTGATCTGAGTTTTAGTATTATTCATATTTCTGCTTCTCTTATACAGCATGAATAATTAAGAGTGTTCTTTCCTTGTTTTTAAATTATAGTTGACATACAACAGTGTTCTTATTAAAAATGGAAATTCAGTTGTGATTTTTCAAACTGTCTCAATTAAGTTAAGTGGGATCCCCTCACCTCCACCTCCTGCTGCCTTCTACACAATAAACACAAACCCGGGGATACATGCTCAGGCTGAGAACTGCTCTGACCCGTGCATTTCATTTTCCTAGAGCAGGGTATCCAAAGACAACTAAGAGTTTCGATTCAGACATAATTTGCTTTCAGGCCCAGAACTATCTTACTCCAGGACATTTTCACAGAACATATAACTTCCTACCTGGTGTCAGATTGTAGACCACTGATAAGGTTTCAAAGTAATCAGTTGTGACAGGTGGAGATAGACTGAAAGAATGCTGACAATGCATGGCATCCCACCCGGGTGGCTCTATGTACATATGTAATGGACAGTGTCCTGATCCCCTGAAGTACCAGGAATACTTACCTCTAGTTTCAGAACGTCATGCTGAAGTTTACGCTGAAATTCGAGGAAGTTTTTGATTGTCAGCTTCCCCTTGAGATCAGCTCCAAAAAAGTAGGTTGTGAGGGCTGAGCACAGGCCAGACTTGAGGGTGTTACCAGTTGTAGGACGATCTCTGTGACGCATACCCATGCTAGTTTGGGAGCGAATGATGCTCTGAACCTAAGAGAGAAGCAAACCCCCATCCAGAAAAACATTACAAAAGTGGAAAAACAGAGAAAAGTTAGAACAATAACTACTATTTATTATTTGCCTACACTGTACTACGATTCTTTCTTTTACTGCTCACAACAATCCTAGAGATAAGTCCTAGGATTATACTCGTTTCACAGATGAGGAATGTGAGGCACACAGAGTTAAATAACTTGCTCAAGGTCAAGTAGCTATCAAGTAGCAGAACAAGTCCTCTAACACAGATACCTGACACCTTTAAAACTGGGACTCTTAAAAATCTTTCTCCAGAAAAGAGCATGCATTTGTTTATAGGCACAAAACCTCTCTCACAAAACTAAAATATCATCAGCCTCACAGTAATGCCTTCCATATCACAGGAGATTTTAAACAATTTCACACTTCTCACTGCTGACTCTAGTCGTGATGAGAGACAGCATAGCTATAGGCAAATACTTAACAGCTAAGAGACATATTTATTAGAGTGATACACGAAATACAAAGGTGGTATGAAATATTCAATAATTCTCAAGAAAAACATGGGGAATTAGTTCAATCTTTGAGAAGTTTTAAATGAGCTTTTTGAGAAATGATAACTTTTGGGACTAGCAACTAGATAAAGAACTTTTTGAGGCAAGACTGCCATTGCTATAATTTTGTTTTCACTAGTTCCTACACTCTTTTTTACCTCTTTACAAGCGAAAAAACAAACAAACAAACTCCAAACCAGCTACTTGAAATAATTAAAATTGGGATATAATTTTAATTATAAGAGTAAATAATAAAAGTACCTTATATAAGTAAACAATACATATATAGTCTTATATAGTGGGTGATGCTTAAATTGGCAAATTAGAAAAGTGAAATACTTAGAAACTTAAGATTTGTAACAACAAATTTACCTTGGTTAAATGTCTTTCATTTATTATCTATAACCATAAAAAAGATTTATTTAAGACAATTTAAAAGCCTCTGGCTCGATAAAATGTGGAACAATATAATGGAAAGACACTAGATGGGAAGTCAGGAAATGTGGGGTCTGACTGTGCTGCTCTGTGGCGAAAGCCAGATTTACGCAAGTCATTTAACCTCTTAGAGCCTTACTTTTCTCATTGGAAAAGTCCACAGAGTACATTATTTTGAAGTCTCCTTATACATCTAGGTCAGTATCATAAATGCTTTTGATTATGATTTTTTGTGGGCTTATGTTTTACCATGTAAATAAGATTCGTTGACATTTGTTTCTCATGCACACGAAAACTTGAAAGACAGCTGTACAACAAACAACCCAATTCAAAACTGGGCAGAGGACATGAAGAGACATTTCTCTAAAGAGGACATATAGATGGCTAACAGATCTCTGAAAAGATGCTCAACATCACTGATCATTAAAGAAATGCAAATAAAAACCACAATGAGATACCACCTCACTCCGGTCAGAATGGCTATCATCAATAAATCAACAAAAAACAAGTGCTGGCGAGGTTGTGGAGAAAAGGGAACCCTCATGCACTGTTGGTGGGATTGCAAATTGGTGCAGCCACTATGGAAAATGGTTTGGAGTTTCCTCAAAAAATTAAAAATAGAACTACCTTATGACCTGGCAATTCCACTCCTGGATTCTTATCCAAAAAAATCCAAAACACTAATTCAAAAAAATATATGCCCTCTTATATTTATTGCAGTGTTATTCACAATAGCCAAGATATGGGAACAACCAAAATGCTCATCAATAGATGATTGGATAAAGAAATTGTGGTACATTTATACAATGGAGTATTACTCTCCATAAAAAAGAATGAGGACCGGCCAAGTGGCTCAGTTGGTTAAGAGCACGAGCTCTGAGCAACGGGGTTGCTAGTTCAATTCCCACATGGGCCACTGAGCTGCGCCCGAGCTGAGCTGCGAACAGGTGGCAGGATAGCTCAGCTGGTGAGAGCACGTGTTCCTAACAACAAGGTTTCTGGTTCGACTCCCGCATGCGATTGTGGCTTAAGATTGAACACGGCATCTTGAGCCGAGCGGCCGCAAGCTCCCAATGGGTGGCCGGATGGCGACTGGACTTGGAGCTGAGCTAGCTGCACCCTCCATAACTAAGACTGAAGGACAACAACTTGGCTGGTCCCCTTTCCCAATTCCCCAATAAAATCTTAAAATAAATAAATAAATAAATAAATAAATAAATAAATAAATAAATAAATAAATCTTACCATTTGCAACAACATGGATGGACACAGTGAATATTATGCTAAGTGAAATAAGTCAGACTCAGAATGACAGATATCATATGATCTCACTTATATGTGGAATCTAAAGAACAGAATAAACAAGCAAACAAAACAGAAATAGACTCAGAAATATAGAAAAAAAAAACTATCTTTTTTTCACCACAGCTTTGAGAGTGAAGAGAACACTATTTATTTGTTGGATAGTACAAACTGGTAGTCACAAAATAGGCACGGAGATGTGAAATACAGTATGGGGAATATAATCAATAATACTGTATAGATTATGTAGGGTGCCAGATGGGTACTAGACTTATTGGGGAAATCACTTCATAGACTGTGTACATGCCTGAGCACTGTGCTATAAACGTGAAGCTGATGTAGAATAATAATGAATGTCAACTATACTTAAATATATATACATGGTCACGGGATGTAAAGAACAGCATAGGGAATATAGTCAATGGTATAGTAACAGCTGTATACGATGACAAAGGGGTAGTAGACTGGGAGGGAGTTATCACTTTGTAAGGGGTATAAATGTCTAATCATTATGTTGTTATGTACACCTGAAACTGATTAAAAAAAAAGAAAGAAAAAAAGAAAGAAAGAAAGCCAGGTATATAATGGACTTTTAAATTATTTAAGTTGAAGTTTTTTAGACTTTAAGTTGAAATACAAGATGATCAGAAAAATGCTTCTTCTATTTGAAGGCAATATGAAATTCATTTTATATAAGTAGGAGAATTGAAGAATTTTCTAATAGCAGTGAACCACGATTGAGGATTACTGTCAGGACATACCATGATTTAAACTTTGCCTGTGGCTATAAATATTACAGTTTACATCCCTCCTATTGTGGAAACTGTATATGTTAGCTTCAAAAGTGTAATGCTGAGGGTGTGTGTATAAATGACTGGGAAAAAATGTTTTTAGGGAAAATTAGCTAATGCTACAGCATCTTCATTAATGATTAGTAATAGCAGTGTCCAGATATTGTCACACTTATGTGTAAACGATTACTAACTGTAAGTGTTCTTTTAAAAACTTTTTAAAAAAGTGTATCACTAGGTTGTGTGTGTGTGTGTGTGTGAGAGAGAGAGAGTTAGAGAGAGAAAGAGAGAGAGAGAGAGAGAGAGAGAGAGAGAGAGAGAGAGAGAGAGAGAGAGAGAGATAAAGATATACTGTTTCCTTAGCATTTCTCAGTTGGGAAATATTTTCTTAAAATATTTTTATTTAGATAACTTGCTAAGGGTATAACATGAGAATCAATCAAAACATGTCAATGAATGCTTACTATATGTTATATGTTGTGGAGAAAATCAAGAGAAATATAAAACATGATCTCGGAATAAAATCTCATTCCTTTTCTTCTGTTTCACATCTGATAACTATCACTTCTCACACTTTGATACTAAAACCACTTATGTCATGGATTGGGTGAATGTAGCCCAAACAGTTAATATTTTTTGCTAGATTAGTTCTGTTTTATGATTTACTATGAAATGGGTTAAAAAAAAAGATTTGAAGAGCTCGCTCAAGAGTTTGAGCTCTGAGCAACAGCAGCTCGAGTCCCAGCCCGAGCTGAGCAGCTGCTGAGTTGCCAACAGGTGGCAGGATGGCTCAGCTAAAAAAAAAAAAGATTTGTGTGATAGAAAGGTAAGAGAAAACTTACTCTTACTATTTACAGTTGACAAATCCTTTTTAGTAATTTATGCTTAAGCATGAGCAAAGTAATTTTAGAAAAAGATGAATGAAAGTAATATTAGCTATTAATCTGCTCATGCAACATTAATTTTGAAGCTACATGATGATGAAATGTGAAACATCCTCATACTGGTTCTGTTTAACTTTTTAAGCGAGACAAATACACTGTCAAGGGAATACCTGTTTACCTGGGAAATCAGAGCAAAGTGTCAACGACTGAAAGCCTAGTGTACTTTCAACTTAATAAATTATTATATTTCCCAAGAAAGTAAAATGTAGAAAGATGGAGAAACTTCTGAGAGTCGTTCACTCATGAGCTGCCTTATAATTATTTTTTTTTTTAAGATTTTTATTGGGGAATTGGGGGAAGGGGAACAGACAAGTTGCTGTCCTTTTGTTCTTCAGTCTAGTTGTGGAGGACATCACTTCACTGGCCCAAGTTGGCACCATCATTGCGCTCTTCCTGAGCGAGGCAGATCAGTCGCCGGATTCTGGACGGCCGCTCATGGTGGCTGCTGGCCACTCACGCTGGCTGCTGGCTACACATGATAGCCCATGGCGACCCACTGCAGCAGGCAGGGGCTGCAGCGTAAGCCGTCGCGGCGACTCACAGCAACCCAAATCCAGGTTGAGCTGTTGTTCAGCATCTTAGCTGTAGAGGGCAGTGTCACTGGCCCTCATATGTGGGATCCGAACCGGGGTCCTCTGGCATCCCAAGCCAGCTCTTAACCAACGCGCGACTTGGCCGGCCTTATAATTACTTTTTGATTTTCTTCTAAAGAGCATTTACATGTGATCAATATTATAAGTTGTATCAGGTTAACAGGCCAGCTATCAAGGGATCACATTAGATGAAATTAGCATTCCCTTCTCTGACGAGTGAACAGAATGGTGAAATGACTGCCCCGTGTCATTCAGCATCTGAGTCATTCAGCATGTCAGGAGCAATGCCAAAAACAATACATATGTGCCCTAAACTAAAATCTAGAGTTTTGTGTCTATAACAGAAGTAGGGAGGTTACAGCAATTTTGCTCCTGAGGAGTACCCTAAGTAATTTCTGAGGCTATTTCTAAACCATTTTTTTTTATGTTTTATTTCTCTTCATCCTTTCCTTCTCCCCCTCTCCCACTTTTGTTTGTTTCTTTTTTCTTTTTTTAAGATTTTTATTGGGGAATTGGGGGAGGGGAACAGTGTTTGGACATTGGGGGAGGGGAACAGTGTTTGGACATTGGGGGAGGGGAACAGTGTTGGGGAATTGGGGAAGGGGAACAGCCAAGTTGTTGTCCTTTAATTTTAGTTTTGGAGGGCGCAGCAAGCTCAGCTCCAAGTCCAGTCACGCCACTCAGCTCAAGGTGCCCTGTTCAATTAGTTGCAGGTGGGCGTAGCCACCATCCCATGCAGGAGTTGAACCGGCAGCCTTGTTAAGAGCACATGCTGTATCCCGAGTCACCCAGGCGGCAGCTCAGCTCAAGGTGCCGAGTTCAGTCTTTTAGTTGTTGGCAGGCATAGCCTACCATCTCGAACAGGCAACCTTGTTGTTAGGAGCATGTGCTCAGCTGAGCCATCCTGTCACCTGTTGGCAGCTAAGCGGCAGCTCAGCTCGGGTGCAGCTCACTGGCCCATGTGGGAATTGAACCGGTGACCCTGTTGCTCTGAGCTCGTACTCTTGAGCAAGCTCTTAACCAACTGAACCACTTGGCCGGCCCCACATTTGTTTCTTTCCTTCCTGATTCTTAGGCCTGTCTGAAGCCCTCTCTTAGCATTTAATTTTAAATAGTCCTTAATCCACTTCTGGTAATAGATGAATAGCTCCTTTCAGGCCAATCCTCCCTGAGATGACAATTATATACCAGGGACAAAATACACCAAACACCTAACTGAAGGCACTAGAGAGTGATCAGGGGCATATATTGAAGGGGAGTTGAGGCTCGGAAGAGGGGGAACAGCCCTGGGTGAGATTCCAACTTTCTACAGCTCCCAACCTGAAGGAAGTTTGCATCAGAAGGATTGGTGCCCTCAGTTTTTCTGGCTTGAAAAACCAGAGGACAGATTTTGGGGCAACTGCAGCCACTGAAAAGAAGAAATCCTACAAAGGAGAAATCCAAAGAGGGGAGCCCCAAATTCCATACATAAATTCCACACAAATCCAGTTGAGCTAAAAGCCTGCTAAAACACAAATATTCTTCAGGTGACTATTACCAAATCTAGAGTCTATGATATGTCATTTATAATATCCAGACTACAATCCATAATTACTTGACATCTGAAGAAATGGGAAAATTTGGCTCAATCTCAAGAGAAAAGGCAATCAATGGAGATCAATCTCTAGAGCACCCAGATGTTGGAAATTAGCAGACAAGGATTTTAAAGTGGTTATGATGATAGTACTCAAGTATATAAAATATGGAAAAGATGGGACACTTCAGATGGGAAAGAAAACATCAAAAATGAAAAGTTCTAGAACTGAAAAATGCAACATCTGAAATTTAGTGGATTGTTTAACAGCAGAGATGCTATGATGGAAGAGTCAGTGAACATGAAGACAAATCAATAGAAATTATACAGTCTGAAAAGTAGAGAGAAAAGATTGAAAAAATAAATAAACAGAGCTTCAGAGATTTGTGAGACAATGGTCTAACATTTGTGTTACTGGAGTCCCAGAACGACAAGTGAGAGAGAATAGGGTCAAACAAAAAGAAATTTTAAGAAATAATAGCAATAAACTTCTCAACTTTGATAAAAACCATAAATTTATAGGTAAATTTATAGATGAGCTATTTGCTCATTAAATACCAAGAAAGATAAGTACAAAGAAAACCACACTGAAACACCTCATAATCAAATTTCTAGAAATCAAAGATAAAGAGAAAATCTGGAAAGCAGAGAGGGAAAAACAGTATATTACATAGAGGGGAACAATGATTCAAATAACAAGTGACATTCATCAAAACGAATCAGAAGTTGTGAAGCAATAACTGGGAATGTTACATCTATATCTAGAACTCTGCATGTAGAATTTCCTTCCAAAAATAATGATGACATAAATTAATTAATCACTGACAGATGTGAACTACAAGAAATGCTAAAGAAAGTTTTTCCAACTGAAGGGAAATGATAACAGATGGAAACTAGGATTTTCAGGAAGGAATGAAAGGCTTCAGAAATGGTAAATATGTGAGTAAACATAACAGACTATTTTTTCTCTTATTTTCTTAAAAATACATGTTAGTAAAGTGAAAATTATAATGTATTATGGGGTTTATAATATACAGTAGTTCCTCCTTATCTGTAGTTTTGTGTTCCGTGGTTTCAGTTATCCACGGTCAACCATGGGCTAGAAATATTAAATGAAAAATTCCAGAAATACAAAACTCGTAAGTTTTAAATTGTGGTCCGATTTGTGTAGTGTGATGAAATCTCTCGCTGGCCTGCTCCGTCCCACTTGGGATGTGAGTCATCCCTATGCTGAGCATCTCCCCATTATATACACTCCCCACTCAGTAGCCATCTTGGTTATCAGATTGACTGACCCAGTCTCACAGTGTTTCTGTTCAAATTATCCTTATTTTACTGAATGATGGCTCCAAAGCACAAGAGTAGTGATGCTGACAATTTGGATATGCCAAAGAGAAGTCACGCAGCATACGTATGTTCAGGAAAAAAACATATTAATAATATTAATAATAGTATATCTAGAGTTCAGCACTACCCAAGGTATCAGGTATCCACTGGTCTTAGAATGCTTCCCCTGTGGATAAGGGAGGATCACCGTATGCAGATTAATACATCGGACAACTATAGCAGAAAAAATGGAGAAGGGGTAAATGGAACTATATGGTTGCAAAGTTTCTACATTTTATGGGAAGTAGTATAATACTAATTATAAGTTGATTGTGTACATTTTAGAATGTATAATGGACATAGGGTACGAATTTGAATAAATGTCTCTAGGTATTTTGAAACATTTATCTTTGTGCATTTCTTATTTTAAAGATATACTGTACCTGACACTCCCTCTCATTTCCTTTTTATCCTTTCCCTCATTTTGAATACAAAAATGTTGTCTTCTTACATAGATTTTTTTTCCTGTTTTGAAACCACTTCTGAGAATCATAATAATTGTATTTGGGGAGGTACCATGGTGCTCCAATGACAGGAGTTTTATTTTGGAACTGTAATCTCCTCCTAGGATTCAGAAGAAACTGTATATATCTTTGCTGGAACCTACTATAGTCAAAGGCATAGTAGCATTTTTCCTTCTCCTATAGAAATCCTTCCAGAACATGTCATTCATCCTGTATTCTGGAACCGCCTGGCACAAAGAAGCTGTCTGATAAATGTTGACTGAACATATGACTGAATATCTATAACTTAGCCTTTCAGCATTATGGTCTAACTCATGTCGGGAAATCAGAGCAAATCTTGACATTAATCATATGTTCAAATAATTCCTTACATTTGGAGTGAAAAACAAATAAAAACCCCACCTGTAAAAAGTATGAATAATTTTGAAAAATGACACATTACATACTTTAAAAATTGGATAGCATCTGAATACACTGACCAAGGCCAAAATAACTCCAAGGCACATGAACGTGGGTTAAATATTAATGTATTTAAAGGGACTGTCTCCAGGACAACTTGCCTGTTCAAACTCCTCCATGTCTACTTCTCCATCTCCATTCAAGTCAAACATTTTGAAGGCAATTTCAAAATTTCTTTGAGGAGCTGCAAGTACAAAGAAGAAAGGAAGTATAAGAGGGAAGGAAGAAGGGAGAGAGGGTGAAAAAGAAAAATAATTAGCTGGCATTGACCAAAAATAAAAAAATCAGTCCTTTAAGAAAATCAGTTAAACACTAAAATGTAATATCAAGTCACAGAATACTACTATATTTATCTAGACCAATCTTTTAGCAATACTCCTGAAAAGCAAGAGATTTTACCATGGCCAGTAAAGACAGCACTTGTCTTATCTTTGTGTTTCAACACTCTTAAATATATCAGCTTTGCTCTCTTAGACACCATCCTTTTAGTTGTATAATACTAATGTTATTGCTCTGTTACTTAAATACAGTATTATTTACCTGGGCATGAAAGTCTGTCTGGGGTGAGATATTACTGCTACAAAGTTGAAATTCTAAAAAGATATACTATACATATACTCTCTCCCACTTCCTTTCACCCCTTTCCTCATTTTGAATACAAAAATGTTGTCTCCATTCAAGTCAAACAGTGTTTGTCTTGCTTTTAAAAAACAAGTCAGCTTTCTACTTTGTTCTTTCTAGTCTCTCCCTTTTAAGTACAGTCAGGAGTTCAGTGGATGTCATTCTGCCAACAGGTTATCTATACTAATTTGCTCATTATCACTGGAGCTCTGGTAAGGTAGAAAAGCATACTGCTAGCTACTCAGCCTCCTGTTTCAACCATGTTAGCTAGGTACACAAGTTACTGAGTTAAGTATACTTAAATGTTTAAATTAAGCTGAAATTTAAAATATAAAGTGAAAAATGCAAAGTTTGAGAAGATGGTATATTTTCTTTCCCTGAAGTGAATGATGAAAGCTCTTTAAGACTTCCTTATTCCTAGATCAATCAAAACATAATTAATATACTTGTGCATTAGAATGAAATATAAATGTAACAGCCTTCCTTCCTTACCATGCCAAATGTTCTGATAAAGAAAACAAAGTAGTTTATTTCCTTCCTTTGGTGAGAGAATAAACCAAAATAAAATAACCTAATACAAATGCATTAAATTTTCAGCTACTATAACTTTTTCTAAAAGAAATTTGAAAGATTATATGTAGACAAAAAAGGGGGCTTAGTACATTATGCATAGTTGTAGCAAGTCCATATTCCCATCTTGCTCATGAATTTGTCAACAACAAATTGACCATCTAGGCTTAAATTACACTTTCAGTTAGCTAGCCAGCTAGGCTGGTGTGCTCCTGGTTTTTAGTTGCATGGGAAAATCATGTGCCTGTCGGCTTCCGATTGCCTGCCTCACTTGATAATGGCTTCCAACAGGTTTGGTCTTCTTTAGGCCCCAAGTGCAATTGCTGACAAGGATGCAGCTAGGGGAATTAGATTTTTGTATATTTATTGCCACTCTTAAATTTTTCTACCTGTCTGGATGCTATCTTTTACTGAAGAGTTACTATGTGCCAAGCACTGAGGTGAATAACTTAAAGCTGTTGATTATCTGATATTACACTCTCAATCTTGAAAGCTTTTATTTATTTTTTTTCAGTAATTTATTTATTTTTATTGTGAAATAAACATTTTTTAGAATTAGTTTCAGCTCTACAACATAGTTACACTTTTTACCCCTCAAAGTGACATTTCTTTATTTTTTAAACAAAGGAAGAAATTGGGGCTCAAAACCATGAAGCGACTAGCTTAAAATCACACAGCTAATATGTGACAGAACCAGTCAATGCTGACTCCAAAGTCCATAAACTTTATACTCCATGGCCTCCAATATGAAGACAGTGGTACTTTCAATAATAAACACATAATCTTTACTCAGGTATGTTCTGGCCTAGAAACACAACAACAAAACATGACTCACTGGTTACATCAGTCTCTGCAATAGCTGAGAGCTCCAAGTTGTTCATCTCATAGACAAAACTGATATCAATGAAACACTGCATATGCTGTTCTCAGTAGTGTAGATTTGGCCACACTAGCTGGAGACCCACAGGCAACATCAGATTCTCAGTTAGGTTTGTCAAGTGTTTTTAAAAATTCTGAATATGAATTTCTTTGGACAGGAATATACTCTCCTATTCTCCCCTATTGCCTCACACTTGACCCATTTCACTCGTATACATTATTTGTTTAATCCTTGTAGATAGTTGAGATTGTAACAACTGCAAACCATACGAAGCCACTGAAAGTTTTCAGTAGAGAAGTGACACAATCAAACAGGCATTTATAAAGGGCCTCTCTGGCTACAGTGTGAAGGATGAGTTGGAAAACAAGAACCAGCTTAAGAGAAGATCACTGAAGTTCTTATAAATGATAAAACTGTGAACTGGGGTGATGGCAGTGTGTAATGGAGAGGAGGAAACAAATCTGAAATAACGTAAGGCAGAAATTATGCAACTTAATGATTAATTAGGTGTTATGAGCTGAGAGTAAAAATGGATGACAGTATGACTGGCTTAGGTTACTGGGTAGTTGCACGTAACTAAAAGATAAAAGAGATGGAGGGCTGGCCGAGTGGCGCATTGGTTAAGAGCTGGCTTGGGACGCCAGAGGTCCCCGGTTTGGATCCCACATATGAGGGCCAGTGACACTGCCCTCTACAGCTAAGATGCTGAACAACAGCTCAACCTGGAGCTGGGCTGCTGTGAGTCGCCGGTGACTGTGTAGGCTGCAGCCCCTGTGGCAGTAGGTTGCCATGGGCTACCGTGTGTAGCCAGCAGCCAGCGTGAGCGGCCAGCAGCCGTCCAGAAGCCGGCGACTGATCTGCCTCACTCGGAAGAACGCAATGATGGTGCCAACTTGGGCCAGTGAAGCAACGTCCTCCACAACTAGACTGAAGACCAAAACAACAGCAATTTGTCTGTTCCCCTTCCCCAATTCCCCAGCACTGTTCCCATTCCCCCAATTCCCCAATAAAAATCTTAAAAAAAAAAAAGAGATGGAAAAGGTTTGAGAAATAAAATGGGTTCAGCTAGGACCTGCTGAATTCAAGGGGTCAATAGCATATTCAGATGAAAATGTTCAGGAGATAGTTAGAAATATGGATCAAGAGCTTAGACAAGAGGTGCTAAAGCTGGGAGTCATTAGCGTAAAGGTGGTTAGTTTGCAAAGAGCCTGAAATGAAGTTGCCCCCAGAGAACTGAGCGATGAAGATAAGAGTGAAGAAAGGGTAGAATGCAGTTGAAAGAAAAGAGAAAGGAAGCAGTGACAGAAGAGGTGGCATCACAGCAGCAAGAGGAACACAGTCCAAATAAATAGAAATAGGGGGAAATTTGACAAGAGCCAGTCCATATGTTGCCACAGATGAATTAAAGCAGCATTTTCATTCCCTATCTCCACTGATGACAGAGGTTACATAGAATGCTTAACATTTTAACTTTACTGTAACCTTTTATTCTTACAGTCCTGTGAATTCTGTAAAGGCATGTGCCCAGGTCATTTAAATGACTGAATGAGTCATTATGCCTTAAACTGTTTTTTGGTAGTACTGATGGAATAAACAGACAAAAAAAAATTAGATTCTATACAAGTTTCTTATTTTCTGTTGGTTTGATTCTCCTACCACACCTACCTGCACCATTCCTGTTTTAAAGGGATGTTGTGGGACAAATGAGGTAACTAATATGCAATATCAGAGAGCTCTGAATTAGAAAAAAAGTTTAGACTGTAGTAAACCTCTCATCAATGATGAACCTGCCCACTGAATTTGTAAGCATGAACACATGCCTCTGATTATTTCTGAGAAGGTGGTCACCACTTCTGAGGTCTAATCATTGTTGGCCATATTAATTGAGTTTTTTTTTCTCATGTAGAGCCCAAATCTAATCCAGCTTAGCTCCTACAAATTGTCACAGTGTAATTTTCTAGAGAAATAAAAATACATCTGTTTCCTCACCATTTGATAGTCCTCTGAATCCATAAAGATATATTACCATGTCTCCACTAAGGCTCTCAGAACTTACTCCCAGAACTTCAACATCCTAATAGCCTTCCTCTGGGGTACTTTAGATGGTCAATGCCTCCTTTCAATACAGTATCCTAAATATAGTTAATTATGGAATGAGTTACTCTTTCTAGAAACAACAGGACTGCTTCTTTGCAGACTAATGTTGTAGCATTATTCTTACACGAGGGCTTTAGTATCTTGCTTTCTAACATAACATTAGGCTTAGGGAAAGGGAGAGAAAAACTTACAAGATTAGATTTTTAAAAAGTGCCCCTTCCTCAATTCTTCTGAATTCTCCCAACTATGATGGCTAAGCACAATCTGGAAAAAATCTTTCTACACTTTACACAGAGTGGACAAAAAAGTTCAGTTAGCAGACATTTGGTCCCCTCGAAAACATCCACAGAGACGTGTGGTCCAGTTGACCCATCCACCTCACCCCATGTGCCATTATGAGCTAGGTTACCGAGGTGAGAAGGGCTATGCTGGCAGTACAGCCACAACCAATAAAACATGAGAGTATTTTTTATGTATGAACCCTGTAAACCAAAAGTACAAGTAAACATTCTGGGCTCTTTGAAACCAGGGAAGTTTTCTAAGTGTGGACATTGTGGACAGGACCAAATATCAATGATCTTTTTTCATGAAACTGATGTCTCCATTGGTGTTTTGGACAGGACTAAATGTCCTCCAAGGAAAAGTTCCTATGGTATAATGTGTTATAGTTGTACTCTACCATTTTCTCGGGATGATTTAGCTTCAGAAGGAGGGTGCTACACAAAATGAAAATGTAAGAATTATTTTAAACACACTTAAGCAACAGTAGATCAATTTTCTTTTCTTTGACCTAGTTGCCTTGTAAGTCTGATTTCATTTCTGTTAGTAACTATTTTACAGGTACTCTTAGATAATTTGTTAGCCTTTTCAGCATTTTCTAATAGTTTCAGAAGTACCATATTAACACTATAGCTAATAAAAAGGGCTGAAAATATTTGAAAAACATAAAAGGCTTAAAGAATGATAAAAGATAAGCACAAAGTCAAGAATTACTTCTTTTTATAAAGCTATGTATT